TCAAAATGCTTTTGACTTCATTGATAACGATAAAGAAACACTAACTTTTTTTTTGACTAATGCCTTATGCATGTTTTTCCCCCATTCTTCTACTTTGAGTCTGTCTTCATCCTTATGAATCGACAAATATCTAGTTTCTACCTGGGTTTTATGTTATTTACTGAATTTATTTATTAACTTAGTGTGTGCTGGGGATTGAACTCGGGAACATTCTACCACTGAGCTACACCCCCAGCCCTTTTCACTTTTTTTAATTTAGACACAGAGTCTTACTGAGTTAACCCAAGCTGACCTCAAACTTGTCATCCTCCTGCCTCAGCCTCCCAGATAGCTGGGATTACAGGTGTGTGCCCCCATGCCCAGTTATTTTTAATTAATGGTGCATATTTATGGAGTAGAATGTTATAATTTAATAAATGCATACAACATATATACGGATCAAACCGGGATCAGAAAATTGGCATTTCTATTTCCTCATCATGACTTTTTGTTTGGAGCCTTTAAGCTCCGCTTGGTATTCTGCATAAGGTGTACAACAGGGTACTGTGAACTGGAGTCACATGGGTCACCATGGTGCAGAACACACTTACTCCTGCCACTCTGTTACTTACTTTTTACCTTCACTGAAGGCCCCTGAGGTGAGGCTGACCTCAAGGTCAGCTGGCCAGAGAGGAGCAGACACTGATGACTGAATACTCGTGCTCACCATTGGGTAGGGCCTTCAGAAGCAGAGTGCATCTCTGGGTGGGAGGGAGAGTTTCCCGGGGTTTGAGGATTCGGTGAGATGCTGACGTGAGGCTCCATGTGCAAACGTGGTAGTGGTGCTCAGTTTGTGTCACCTGCTACTAGTGTGAATATCAGTCTGATTGGTCTTGGTACTAGTCAGACATCATTCCTGGCATCTTTATTCTGTGCTCTTCTCTAAGAAAATAGAGGAATTAGAAAGCCATCTCCTAATGCTCACATTTTTTAACGTTCTTAAAGTATGGGTCTTAGATAAGTGACTAAAATCATTAAATCCTTTTGGAAACCATTACTAGTGGTTATGTTTCTCTTTGATTCATTTCTTTGGATAGCCAAAAAAAAAAACATATAATAGAACTTGAAGTGTTTCGTATCATTGCAATCYAGTCCTGGATTTTCTAACCACGTGGCCAGAAGCAGCTATACCTCCCCCTCTTGAGGATGCTCACGTAACTTCCTTCAGTAAAAGCATTTTGAGCTGGGCTGTAGCTTGTGCCAAGAGTGTGTGAGGCCCTAGGTTAAATCCCCAGCACACGTCTCTCCCCAAAACAGAGACCCTAAGACATTTTGAGTGTCCTGCTGACTCATAACGGCAGCCTCAATCAAATAYCATGTTATGTGTTAACTGTGGAACCTTTTTTTGGTATGGAGGATTGAACTCGTGGGCACTGAGCCACATCCTCAGCCCTATTTTGTATTTAGAGACAGGGTCTCAGTAGCTTAGTGCCTCACTTTTGCTGAGGCTGGCTTTGAACTTTTGATCCTCCTGCCCCAGCCTCCCAAGCCACTGGGATTATAGGCGTGTGCCCAGTTTACCTTCCCCTGGAACTTTTGATATGCATGCAAAGCCCCCAGAATTATCAGTTCCACAGGGTAATTTTATTTATGGATATGAATATCCCCTCTTTTACCTTCTTAAGAGGCCTCTGAAATCAAGCAGGAGCCAGGTGGGAGCTTCTTCATGCCATTCCGAGGTGTGACTGTCTGGTCCAGTGTCTGGCATAGAGGAATTCAGTATTTGCCAAGGAAAAGAAGCAAGAAAGCTAGAAAAATGCTTGCACTTAATAATGAACCTCTGCATTTTTCCATTTTTAAATAAATATTTATACACAGTCACAAATACCGTTAATTGATTTACAGATTTTGAATAAATATTTATACTCAGTCATAAATACCGTTAATTGATTTACAGATTTCAAATGTCCGAATCCATCCAAAAGTTTTTAATAGTCTCGGTAATTAATAAGTATCTGTAGAATAAATAAAAGAATTGGCATTGAGAAAGTGCTGTGACTATTACASTGACAGTTTTTGGTGAAGTCCTCTATTGCTGAGTGAAAGCTATTGGCCTTTGTAATTCCGTGCCACAAGGTGTCACTTTAGAGCAAGATATTTTTAAATGCCTGAACCTAAGGGCTTCTTACCAGGAGCATGAGTTTTCAAAATGCAACGAGGCCACCAAACTGTTCACTAAAACTTGTGCCCAGCAGGCCACCTACTGTAACTTCAGAAGTTCCTTGAGTGGCCGGAATCTTTCATGGAAATGCACAAAGCTGAGTTCTTGCAGGAGCAAGCCCCTCTCCCCTTCTTCCAGTCCCTAACAGGCACGTGGAGGGAGCCAGCCACCCGAGGCCACTCACATGCAGCCACAGTGTGTTTACTGGGTGTGTTTTTTCTCAGGTGTTGTGTGCAGTTTTAACCATTCAATGAGAATGGTGAACAGCGCAGTCTAAAAGAGCTGTATAGTTACCATGGAAACAAAGCCGAGCCGGTGACATCCCTCAGGACTGGCAGCCTCTCATGACACAGCACTGCTTTCTCTGGAGGATGCTGTCATCTGTGGGGAGCCAGACCTGCRGTACACATAGGCACATCCCCCCGCATTGTGTTTCAGAAGACGGGTTCTATGTGCCCACTGTCACCGACTTCCCTGTCCCTTAGGGGTCCACCCAGATGTGTCTCAGTGGGTTCACAAATTCCCAGGAACTCCTTCGGGGGCTGACCAGGGCAATCAGTCCATGCCTATATCACTGGATATAACTAGTGTCCCTGCTTTACCCTAGGTGGTGTGTGAATGTGATAAATCCAAGTTCAAAGTCATGATTTAAGCTATTGCTACAAATTGACCATCAAGGAAAACTTCCCGGAAGGGCAGAGAAGGCAGCCAAGAAAGAAATGTAGGAGTTGTTCATTATCAAATTGGGGGCCTTCTAAGAGTCTTTTCTGACCCCAATTGGGGTCTAGACACCACAGAGGAGCCCCCTCCCCAGCTGCCTGCTTTGGGAGTGGAAACGGTGGGAGCTGCAACTGTGTCCTGTCCTTGATTTTTAAAGACCTTTTGCCCTGAAAACAATGTAGTTCCCTAGAAGGTCCCCATCCAAACTTGGGCAACAATTGAGCATACCTCAATCTAAATGTAACAAGAAGATGGATATACTGGCTTCAATAAGGTATCTAATGGAGTTGAGGGTGTTATACTGTGTATTTTGTTTCATTGTTGAGAGGCTGGGTATTGGTTGGCTCTTTGCCATGTCCTGCAGAGTAGAAATGTGATCCTCTAATGAAATGTTCACTGTATGAAAATTCTATTAAATATCAACTTGGCTATCCCACGAACTCCCTCRTTCACATTTTGTCCGTTTCTGCAGTTCCTCTGATTCCAAGGGACAACTTTCTTTCTAAAATTTACGGTCTCTTCTGTTTCTACCCTTGCTGTTAGTAGAGAAGAATTAAAATCTTACATATTTTACAGAGATCTGTTTGGAACATATCAAGTATCTTTTTATAGGAGTTGGTGTATTCTGTTGCATTCATTCACTTATATACTCAGTAGYTKTTTTTTTTTTWATAGAGCATCTGTGTTATGGGATGGGTACTKTTCTTGGTGTGAGGGACCTAGTAGTGAAGGAAATAGATAAAAAGCATGCCCTCGGTGGACCTTAGCATGTAGTGGTAGGGTTGAGGGAGAGAGAGAGTACTGAAGTTAAACCTGTGGTATAGTATATTCTAATAAAAAAATGAAGGAAAAAATGAAAAGGGAAATGGGTTTTAAAATATGGAAGATATCTTGAAATTTGAGGGTAGGTGGTCAGGTTGAACCTTAAGACAGTTATAGGGGGAAAAAATACGATAATCAGAAGGAACTTCAAGTGCACAGGTYTTGGGATGATAATATGCCTGAGATGTAGGAGGGACCACAAGGGGCCCAGGGTAGAAGAAGCAGAGTGAAGGATGAGGATACATGCTCCTCTGCTTCTCCACTGTCTGCTGAACACCTTGCACAGCTCCTTGCACATAGTAACACAATGTTCATTGGCTGAATTAGTGAAATATGGGCAGAAAGGGAGAAAAGTCAGAATTTCATAGCTAAAGGGTACAGAATGRAGAAAGGAGGGTATAGGTAGAGAAGAACGGAACTGGGTGGGCTGTGAGACAAGAGTTTGATGCTAGAGAGATTTGGGAGGTGACAGATTGAAGACATAGAATTGAAGGGATCCTCCAGGGAGATGGCCACGGGCCAGGTCATGGTGTGGCAATGTGGATAGAAGTAAGTATTCATTCCCTGGGCAGGACCCGAGGCCCTGATGATGGAGTATAAGCCAACCGTAAAGAAGATCAGAAATAGAGCATAAAGCCAATGCACTGTTAATGGATGCTGTTGGCAAGATTGGGAGAATCCAGTGAACATTGCAATAGAAACTATTTAGTGATGCACCGCACTATATGGCRATGTAGGGCTCTCATCAGCAGAGACTGTGAGTCACTGGAGAAGTGAGCAGCCAAGATGGCCTTATCAATCAGATGGCCTCGGTGCAATGCTCCAGTGTGACCAGCAGGTGGCACCATCTGTGTTGTGATCTGAAGAACTTCCCAAGGCCCCCCCTGCCTAGAAATCCTGATACTTTGCCATTGAGCCCAGAGCCCTGGAAATGTTTTTGATATTTATTGTCATGGCCTTATTTAGAAACACTGTTTAGGGAATCTGCCTGAGCCTTGGTAAATGTAACCGAGCTCACAAAGGAATGCCTGTTCCCCTCCTCTGCATCAGAAGGCTCTGTGTTTTGATACTTACTTAGGCTGCGCTTATTCGCTTATTCGATTAGGTGCACCAAGTGATAAGTAGTGATTAACAGGCAGGGGATGAGTGTCACTTGCTGTATGTCAAGGTTATATATTAACGGAAGAAAAGAGCACAAGATACATTTTGGACAAAAGGGATGTGTGTGGAGTCATCRATGTGCTGTGTTTGCCCTTAGGTGTCCCAGATGGGAGTTTCGCTTTGCCAAAACAATCAAGATTAGAAGAYGCTGCTCAGGGAGCCTCCGGCCTGGCAGGTAACGTCCCGCACCCAGCCAACGGTTGAAGTAGAGTGCAATAAATACGTGGTCATGAAATGTGTACCTGCCTGAATTACAAGGAAATTATAGTTTTCAGATCACTGTAGCCGCAGACACTTAAAAACTTACCATTTTGTCCTTTTAGAGACAAATAAATTATTGCACAAATTTTCAATAGAAGCAAGCAGCCTTCCATCCTAGCATTTTTATTTCTGCCTCTTAACTCTTCTAGGGTTAATCTCRGGGCCTGAGGTTCCTAAAGTTTTAGGCCTCTGCTTTAGCTGATAGTTATTGACTAGACTTGGGGGGGGTTAGAAATATATAATCTATTCTGATTTTTATTTTTCTTCTATATGAATTTTAGGACTTTTCCCCCCTAGTTCTATGAAGAATTTCTTTGGTATTTTGATGGGGATTACAATGAACCTGTATATTGCTTTTGGTAGTATGGCCATTTTGACAATTTTAATTCTGCCTGTTCAAGAACACGAGAGGTCTTTCCATTTTCTAAAGTATTCTTCAAAAAAAACTATATTCTTCTATAGTTTTCATCATAGAGATCTTTTATTTCTTTGGTTAGATTTGTTCCCAAGTTGTTTTTTTTGTTTTTTTGTTTTTTGTTTTGAGGCTGCAGTGAATGGAGTTATCTTCCTGATTTCTTTCTCAGCAGATTCATTATTGGAGTATAGGAAAGGTATTGATTTTCATATCTTGATCTTCTATCTGCTTTGCTGAATTTATCAAAATCAAAACTACATTGAGATTTCATCTCACTCCAGTTAGAATGGCAATCATCAAGAACACAGATAGTAATAAATGTGTGGGAAAAGGAATACATTATTGGTGGGATTGAAGACTAATACCACCACTTTGGAAAGCAGTATGGAGATTCCTCAAAAGACTAGGGATGGAACCACCATATGAACCAGCTGTCCCACTCCTTGGTTATTTATCTGAAGAACTAAAATCAGCATGATGTAGTGATATAGGTATATCAATGTTTATAGAAGTACAATTCAAAATAGCCAAGTTATATAAACAGCCCTGTGTAGTAGACATACACAATGAAGCTTTACTCAGCCATAACGAAGAATGAAATTATGCCATTGGCTGGTAAGTGGATGGAACTGGGGAAATAATGCTGAATGAAGTAAGCCAGACTCTGTCAAAGGTTAAATGTGTTTTCTCTTATGTGTGGAAGCTATATGAAAATAAAGGGAAAGATGGGAAGGGGGGATCCCAGGAACTCAGAAGGGAGATGAGTGGACTTGGAGGAGGGAGAGAGGGAGGGAAGGAGTAGGGATGGGAAAAGTGAGGAATTTCAGGATGAAATTGACCAAATTATGCTATGTACATACATGAACATACTGCAGCGAATTTCACCTTTATATCTATAAAGCACCCATTTAGAAAACATAAATAGAAGGAAGACCCGCGGAGTAGAGGAAGGGTGGACAGGGGAGGGAAGGAGAGAAGRGAAAGAGGAAGTACTCTACCAAAATGGAGCCCATCATATTCCATGAATGTATGGTTAGGTCCAAATGAACCCMTCTGTTATCTGGAACAGTGATGCACTAAGAGAGTCTGGATGAAATAAGCTCATGCCAGAGAGAGGTGTCACTTGGTCAGAGGCACCTGCTGACCTTGTTCAGTCATGGCCAGGGTCACCGAGTGCACTGTTTCAGTGAGTGGCGCATCGGTGGTTCCTATCTGTGGTTCTCACAGGTTCTTCCATCCTCTAGGAAGCTGTTGGACCAAGCCTGTCTCCTTTGAGCATTTGTTAATTTTATTTAATAAATATATATTTTTTGTTGTTAGGCACTTCTACTCCGTCTCTGGAATATGTGCCTGAGAACTTGAATGTTTCTGCYATTGTCACAGCCTTGGAAAACTTCACTGGAGAAATGAAAAGAAAATACGAGGTAATCATCCGCCAAAAAATGGAAAACTATCTCATGAGCCTGGAGGACGTTATTCAAAAGAAAATAAACCAAATACTGCATGATCTCAAATACGGAATTTAAGTAAGCAGAGAGAGAGGAAGGGTGGTTACCACGGGTTAGGGGAATGAGGGATATGGGGACRTGTTGGTCAAAGAAACCAGACTTTTAATTAAAAGATGGGTAAGTTCTAGAGACCCCGTGTRCAGCATGGTGTGACATAGTTAGTCATTGTACTTGAAATTCATGAAGAGAATAGATCTCTAGTGTTCTCACGGTGCACACACACAGGTAACAGTAAGGTGATGCATATGTTAATCAGGTTGGTTGTGATAATCATTTTACAATGTATGTACAACACCACATGTTCCCCTTGAATATAAAYAATTTTGTCAATTTTAGCTCAGCAAAGCTGAAAATAAGACAAAGGTAGAAAAATTAGCTTGTTATGAGTTTAAAGAAACATATATAAATAATATTCATCAATACTGTTGCTATTCTTCATATGTGAAGGTGCTCCTGAGTCTTTGGGAGGTGTATTTGTCTTAGCTGTGGTCGCTGATTTTTGCGGTTTCTATTTATAAGCTAACTGTTCCATGTCCATATGCTCCAACGGGACTAAATATGTGGACATCAGACGAATGGTTGGGTTCCACTGGACGCTTTCTCAGACAAATGAACTATCAGAAAGCAATGACTTGGACCCAAGATGATAGTCAGAGATAAGGGGAGAGGGAGACCGTGTGGAGGAGAGGACTCTGAGACAGAGGTGAAGGTAGACTTGGTAGCAGACCTTTGAGATGCTGTACCTACAACCTGTCCCACAGCCTGGTCCGCAAGATTAAAAACCAACATTCATTTAATTAAGATGGAAGGCTTCCAAAGTCTTACTACCAGCAATATCAATACAAGAAAATTTATAATGAAAATATGCTTTTAGAATTCAACATGAGTATATGCTTTCCGATTTGTCTCATTTTTCTTCATTAGTACCAAGTTTGAGATAATTCCTGAAAGGTATGCAGAATAGTGCCCCATCACTGTTCCTGGGCAGTATGTTTACTATGGATATTATAATGTTCAGGCAGAATCTTTTTAATGCAAAGCACACAATACACTTACATAGTTATGTTTAATTCAAGTTGATGATTTTGTTTTTGTTGTTATGGTTTAGTTCAGGTACAGTGAGAGTCCTCTTTCAGAAAAGGCAAAGAAAACACCGAATTGCATAATAAAACTTTTAAACCTGATACACCTCTGCAAGTAAGTATTGAATTTCAAAGCAATTCATGGAAATGTGATTATTCACAAACAATATTTATCTCATGACTGCTGTATGGGGGCCTGAGGAGCTGCAGCCTGAGCCAGATGTGAGTTTGATACATGCTTCAACCCCTCCAGGTATCTGGTTTTGCATCCATAAGATGARCTAAATATCCTCCTTGGGCCTTTCATTGTCTATCATTATATGATCCCAAAATATTGTTCTTAAAAATTTTCAAATCCATGTGTGAAGACAGGGTAAGTATGGATATATGTGTGAAAAAATACTGGGTAGATGAATTGTACAGACATGTAGTASAATGTTAATTTAGCCTTAAAAGGGAATTAAAATTCTAACACATGCTGTGACACAGATAAACCTAGAAAACATGCTAAAAGATTCCAGGCACAAGAGGTACTGCATTATTCCCCTTAGAGGAGGTAACTACAAGAGTATGAATGGAAATCCATAGACACAGAAGGTACGTTGGAGTTGAGAGAAGGGGCAGTTACTATTTAATAGGTGAGAGAAGGGGCAGTTACTATTTAATAGGTGCAGAGTTTCTGTTCAGTATGATGGAAAAATTTTGCAAATGGATGATGGTGGTGGTGGTGGTTGAACATTGTGTGATGAACTTAAGGCCACTGAACTGCACAGTGAAAGATGGCTAAAAGTAAATTTGATGTTCTGTATGTTAACCATGATAAGAAAATGCTGCTCATCCATGCACGCACACCTGTTCCCCCTTGTGATCATGTAGCAAGAAGCATCAAGACACCCAAGTTTCAGAGGGGTGGGAAGGGAATGGAGGGATGAAATTCTGTAGTAATCAGAGTGATTTCAGAACACTCTCCAAGGAAGTGCTKCTTGAGGTAGGCTTTGGAAACAAGGATTTGAGTGGTGCAGGGGAGGTGAGTATAGAAATTGTGCCTTATTGGAAAGAATGGGCTGCAGATGAGGAAGGGAAGAAAGGGACGGAGAGTCAGTTTGCTAAAGTAGAGAGTTTCTTAGGGTAGAATACTTTAAATAGACATTTGTAGTATTTTTTCCAACTCTTCTATACATGCAATGTCGTTTACTTGTCCAGATGAGCCTGTGAAGGACTTTGGATTTGTGGAGCTCCTGTTATGCTCCAGCGGCTCACGCTTAGCCACATAGTCATTGAACAGGTGCACACTGAGTGATTCTGGGTACCAGGCTCCTTGCTCAGCACAGGAGAGCTGTGAGCACCAGTGTTAGCTTTCTGACTGTGACAAACACCTGAGATAATTAACTTATAAGAAAAAGTTTGTTTTGGCTCATGGTTTTGGAGGCTTCAATTCTTGATCAGTTGGCTCTGTTGCTTTGGACCTGTGACCAGGCAGCAGAGAAAACCTGCTCATTTCATGACTGGAACATGAGAGGGAGGGAGAGAGGGGTGGGGGGAAGGAGCTGGGATCCCGTAGTCCTTGTCAAGGGTCAAGGGCATGCTCCCAGTGACCTAGCTGGACAGCACTTCTTAAACCTTCCACCGCCTCCCAATAGCACCAGTTTGGGAACCAGTTCTTTAACACGGGGGGCCTTTTGGGGACCTTCCACATCCAAACTTTAGCAGCAAGCTCTAGGAACTCTTGTCTTCATGGAATGTTCACCTTAACAGAGGAGAGAGAGACAGACAGACAAAAAAGCAAACAGGTAAGGAATCTATATGTCAGATCAGAACGGCAACTGTTAGAAATTTTAGAACTAAAACAGAGGTGGAAAGATGGTGTCATGAGCCCTTTCCTGACCACAGCTCTCAGGGCCAGGTTAAGACCTGACACAGAAGGGACAGCAAGTGGAAGGCAGAAGGAACGCGAGCCCTTAGTCTTTCCTCTTCCCTGGAGCCATCTGTCCTGTGTTCTACTAAGAATGATAATGAAACACCAGCTTCCCGGATGCGGTTGAAAGATGMACCGGGAGTTTGTATGTTGGGGGTTTGGAGACTGGGGATGAGCAGGCATGGAGAGGAGGAGGAGAAGGGAGCCTCTTCCATGTTCTTAATAAAGATCTGGTGAAATATCATTCGTCACACTCCAGAAACCCCATGAAATGTGTTGCTTTTATGTTTATCAGACTCAATAAGCTGCAGCACTTTCACGATTTTGTTCTCCAAGAGTTGAGCAATCTTGAGAAGGATATCCAGGCTCTAAAACACCTTGAGAAGGATATTTTGGTAAGTTGTTCTTGTTCGGAACTCTCTCGGTGACTGAGGAGTATCTCTTCTGTGGAGGAAAAAGTGTTAGCTACTTATATAAATCTTTTGTTCAATTTTAGGAATTTTTKGGGAAACAGTTTGATGATCTGAAATCATTCTGTGATGAGCAAGTGCCGAGGTACTTTTAAAAATGTCCTTGAGTCCTTTGGTTGGTGAATAAAGTAATGCTTTTGCTAGAAGTATGGGCAGTGGGCGTTGGCAAAGCTCATTTAAGCATCTGAGCAGCAGAACCTTTTTAGACTGGGGGTTTCCAAGGCACCTCCTTAGGGATGGAGTGTGGCTGATGATGTCAGTSAAGAAGGGTAAATGGTGAAAAAAAAATTGTGATCCAAATGACTTAATTTTAAGCCGTATTTTCAAAATTGATTACCTTGGAGATATCTATTTAGGTTTCTGAGTAAATATTCATTTACTGATTTTAGTTATGTACTGATGTTCTTGATGATGATAGACCATATTCTACATATTTTGCAGATATTCATATATATTAAATATATACATATGTGTGTATGTGTATACATGCACTTTTTTAAAAAAACAAATGGAGCCAGGCGCAGTAGCACACCCCTGTAATCCCAGTGGCTCAGGAGGCTGAGGCAGGAGGATTGCAAGTTCAAAGCCAGCCTCATCTAAAGCGGCTTGCTAAGCAATTCAGTGAGACCTTGTCTCCAAATAAAATACAAAAAAAAAAAAAAAAGATGGGTATGGGGCTAGTGGCCAAGTGCCCCTGAGTTCAATCCCCAGGACCAAAAAAACAACAAACAACTGGGCGTACTACACTATGTACTCCTCTCGCWGGACTTCACAGTGTACATCCTGAGGTCTGCTCTGTCCATTTAGAGTATTCTCCCATCTTCTGGAGCCTATGGGGTGGGGAGATGGAAAGTAAAGTCTTTTACTCCTTTCTTTTTTTCCTGGGGGAGAAAAAATCTAGTATTCTCTTCCCACTTGGATAATCAGAAGGAATCCCTGTATAAATTTGTAATGGCTGTAATGGCTAAAGTTTTCTCTGCCAGAKGAGAACTAGCTTTGCTATTTATGTATCTATCTGTCTGTCTGTCTATTTATTTATTGACCTGGAAGTCTGTTGTTAAAGGAATGATATTATTTTGATCACGTTGTATATTGAAAAGCAAAGAAAAAAGTGCTTTTAAGACTACTGTCCAACCTGCTATTTACTCTAGTGAACACAGTAATGATGATTGTAAGGGCCCTTTTCAAAATCCTTTTACGTAGTCATCTTCATTCTATAATGTTCTGCATGATCAGAGGTGTTAGCCTTTTAAAGACCTCTTCACTGGGTGTCCATGGTTGGCTGTGAGTTATTCTCAAACTTCTTTGAATCAGATCTCTTTACAAATTTAATATTTCTTGCAGATTCCCAAAGAGCTTTTGCTTAGGAGAGAAAGAGCTGTGAATATTTCCAATATTAAAAATTGAGACTCTTTGAACATATATTTACTTTTAAATGACAGTAATAAACCTTCCTATTAATGTAGTTTTTATGAAAAATGACTACATTTTAAAAATAAGAAACACGAGAGAGCATTGTTTTATTTGCAGATCTTTTTTTTTATTGATTGTTCAAAACATTACAGAGCTCATGATATATCATCTTTCATACATTTGACTCAATTGGGTTTTGAACTCCCTTTTTTACCCCAAATACGGATTGCAGAATCACATCT